ACTTTTCTTAAATCTGTGTCAAAATTTAATGGTGATTTTTTGGAATCTTACTCACATGGGTGTGAGAGGTCTCATAATATCATTATTCTTTTGGTAATAACGAAAACTAAAACGAATATTTACATAATTTTCCCTTATGAGAATCATATCCAGTCATTTGGATTATCTTTTGTATTGAAATTTGAGCACATTTATTTTTGACCTTTTAGGTTATCTATTGATTTTCCAAGTTTTTATTATTTATTATATTATTATTTGTTATTTATTTTTGAATTTCCACACATTTATTTTCTGCTTTTTCGGCGACCTATTGAATTTCCCAAATTGATTAGAACATATTTTGCACTTCTTATTCTCAAGCCACTTTTTTTTATGAGTAATGATCCTATAGGACCCTCCCCCACCCATGTGTGTAGGACTCTAAATGATCACAATTAAAGTTGGCCCAAATCTCTAAAAAAATTATCACATGGGTGTGAGACTTGGCTTTTCTAGATATTTATACCAACTTTAATGGTGATCCTTTAAAGGGTTCTACACACATGGGTCGTAGAGGGTCCTATATAATCATTTCTCTTTTTTTATTACCAAAATACAACAAAATTTATACTGAAAGGTTAAAAAAGGCCGTTATAACGCTCAAGTCCAGTCATAGTGATGACGGACATATGCCTGCTTCTCCTAAAGGGAAGCCGCAAATCTAAATGACATATGTAATAACATAGTATAGAGGAAATGGGGAAAAAATAATGGAAATTTAAGTAAATGAGAATATGAGGTTAGCCTATTAGCTAATAACTACAGTGTTAGCTCAATGACTTAAATTGAATATGGGCCAATCCAATAGTCACAATTGCGTTTTGTATTTCAATTTTATGTATTTGAATTTTATTTTTTTTATACAAATACAAATCACTTGAAATTTTGAACATCTATTATTTAAAAATAGAAAAAATTTATTTAAAATATCAAAATAAGTCTATTGGTCAATTTATTTTTCAAATTTATTTTTTATAATTTGTTATTTTAATAGTTTTATTAAGTGCATTTTAAGAAGAATTGACACCTAAAATTTTATATGATTTGGATTTATAGAAAAATATTAAATTATATTACGAAATGAGGTCGTGACTATCAAATATGCTCGGACTCAATTTGGATTGTTGGATTGAGCTAGTGGGCCAACAACATCTTTTCCTTTTAAGTAAGGACCCAAAGTAAATTTGCAGTGGATTTTAAAACTATTTTCTTTCTACTCCCATTTTTATTGGTTTGAATGTTTGGCTTTGGAACTACTTAAACATTTAGTATTTTTTTTTGTGTTTTAGGTAGTTGGAAAGTTGAATTTGGTCAACTACTTTTGGGGTTTTGGACAATTTAAGTTTTGCGTATTTGAACTACTCAAAAACTTTCAAATTTTTAACATCCCAATGCCGTTTGAAAATTGAACTAAATATTTTTTTGTGTTTTGCGTCATTTGAAAGTTATACTTTCTAATAGTGGGCAAATAGGAATAAGCAAAACTCGATAATTTTAGGATTCAGATCAAATTATTTTTTTAATATATAGATCTCTTTGCTTTTCACAACTATATTGTTTTTATAGGCCGAACACAATTAGAAAGTTTTATAGGTTAGGATAACTAGAAGGGAACAATTGGTTATATAAATCATTTTTTATGTTCAAGAGTAAGCTTATGCTAAATCATGGGCATTAGTCATATAGATAATTTCTTATGTTCAAGAGTTAACTTATGCTAAATCATGGGCATTGGTCATTCTTATGTTCGAGAGTTAGTTAATGCTGGCATTTCATTTGTCCAAAAGGCGATTATTGATAACTTACTGTTCAAATGGTATCAGTAGAGGGATAAATTTATTGCTCTGATGGCATGGTCATTTTCTAGTCCCAATCAATTCAAGCTAAACATTGATGGGCCTCCTTGCATAACCCAAGCCGAGCAAGTGGGGGTGGTATTATTAGGGATTCTTATTTGTCAAATCCTTTGGAATTGCTTTTAATAATTATACGGAATTTTTTCGCTCTTGAAGAAGGTTTGATCCAAGCTAATCCGTTGTTGTGCTTCCTTATCCAGGTTAAGAGTGACTCAGCCTTGCTAGTTAATGTTATTAATAAACGTTGCCGACCTCCTTGGAAGTTACATACGATTGCAAGGAATTATCAACATCTTTTTTATTGTGGGTAGTCCATCTCTCACATTTTCGGGAGGCCAACATGGTGGCTAATATTCTTGCAAAGAGGGTTACATCCTGTCAAGAAGCTATTGTATGTCATTTTTGTCCGCCGGATTTCATTTGTCTTGCTCTAACTCATGATTTGGCATATGTTCCCTATTTTAGATTTGTAAAGTAATGAGCCGTAAACTTTCTATCTTTATTTATTGATGAAAAATGGGTAGGGGGCCTTCTCCCCCACGGACTTACCTAAAAGAAAATTTGAACCTTGCAGTAAAATGTCCTTAAGTGTGGACTAGTTTTCAATATCAATTTTTTTTTTTGGTTTCCTACATAAATTTATCAAGAGAATATGATTAACAAGTTAACAACGTTATTACACGTAATCACACACCGTTACAACGGAGAGTAGCTTCTAAAATTTGGGTCTTGGCAATTAAGAGGTCGAGTTCATGGAATTTGAAGCACGTGGGAGGTGGGATGAATATGAAGGAAACGAGGGGTTGGGGCCTTTATTTCATTTGAATTGGTGGAAATTGGAAAACATAACCTTTTTTAATTTTTCAACAAATGAATTTTTAATTCTTTTAAATTTCATTCATGACTCTTTTT